TTTTTTTTTTTTTTTTTTCCCCAGACGATTCGAGAAACAATCAGCTCCGAAACGCGTTGCTTTACTCGCATTTTCGGCGGTGAAACCGCTACCCGTCGCTTTTGAAACGTCACCTTTAAGTTTACATTGAAAATGCCGCAAACGGATCGTTCGCGTGTGGTCGGCTTTTGAACAGCGATCCGCAAACGAAAAGGCGAAATTAAAAGTGGAATATCTCGTCGACGGTGATTTACAAATAAACAACACGCAATAACGTATTTGAATCAAAAATTTCCGTCTGTTTACGGACCATATTCGATATGGGTATCGCGCGAACCCCGACAATGAGGGGAGGGCCGAAAAAAAAACGACGGATATATTTCGCACGACTGGTGGGTCACCGTTATAGGTGAGAAGTTGGGAAGGTAGGATTTATATGGGAATTGAATTTATATCCGTGCATTGTACACAACGATAAACCATCGCTGACAAAGAACGATTCGACGTGAAGTTTCTCGTGTACGTGTGGGCGCGTACATTTTCCCGTTTTTATTTCTACGTATCTATTCTCGATCATTATGAAAAACGCTTGGAAAACCGAAAAAAAAAAAAAAAAGACCTCATCAAAGTATCGACTAGATGAAATTTCGTTTCGGGAAAAACGCTACACTTTCCGAATCTAAAACGGCCCTTTTCAGAGGGGTAGTGGGGGGGGGGGAAACAGACGCCTATTGAAATCGGACACATTCCGAAATAACGAGCGTCTCACGCGTTCATCGTCCGGCCGGCACGCACGCACACACACACACCGTCGTCGTATCGTATCTCCGCGGACAAATAAGATCGCGCGACCGCACATATAATATCGTTATGGTTATGGTTATCATTATTATTATTCCTGTCTGTGTGAAAGTCACGCGCACACATCCGATCTTACCGGAGCTCTATCAGCTATCGGGTGTATAATATAATCGCCCGCGGTGCACAATACAATACTCTGCGGACGTCGAGAGAGAGAGAGAGAGAGACAGAGACAGAGACAATCTCGTTTTGATTACTCGAGCGCGCGGGTCCCGGGGCGCTATCGGAATCCGGTATTTCAATAATATAATAATGATAATCATCGTCATAAAATACGAGACTTCGCCGGGTTGCCGGTACCCCGTCTCTATAATAATATTATAGAAAATCGGAAAAAAAAAAAAATAAAATAAAAAACTTATCGCCAGACCGCATCGCGTATAGGTTATATACCTATAACAGGCACCTAATACACGCTTGGTAATGGCCCGTCCGTTTACGCTCACTTATATACATATATATATATTGTTGCGATAACGATATTATCAGGTGCCTAGGTTCTGCGTCGAACGCGTACTGTTGGTACGGCCCGTTCCGGTGCCGAAAAACGATCGGTTTTAGAGATTTGAAACTTCTCCCCGTGATAATATCGACGAACCGAGACGATTTACTTGACAATAATTGTTAACGTTAATGCAGACTCTACGCCAGTATACGTTTATAACCGTACGAGTTGATTTTTCCCGAAGTTTAATAAACGTGTGTATAAGTGTATAAGCAAGGCACTGGTCACAGGCGCGATACCTGCGAAATTAGCATCTCGAAAATGTTTGAATAAATGTCTAATAGTAGTGAAATATCCGTCCGCACGCAGTGTTGACGAATCGGATTTGTCGGTTTCGGGACATCTTACCGGAGCCCATAGGTTAACGGATAACGCCGCAACAACAACCGTTTACCATAATATCTAAAGGCGTTACCATTTACTCGCGTTAGGTTATGCTTCTTGGATAATAATTATAGACCCGTGGTCTACGTTGATGATGAACGTTATTATTAGCTGTTCTATGGCAATTGATAACAGTCCGTACGTGCTACACGTGTTCTTGTAATCATATTGATATTATCGATTATACACGGGAGTACTAGTAAATGTTATACTACGTATAATCAATGGCATTATGCATTATAATTTATCAACATGTTTATGATTCATGTCGTTATTAACGTTATTTCAGTTTTGTATTATAAAATTCAGAATATTATTATAGTTAACAATTCGCTACGGATTTGTATAAAATGGATAAACTAAAAACATTGTGTGCGAATATTTTTTAAATTCAAGAACTCCGAGTTACCTGTAAAACATGTTAATGTACCTACAACAAATAGTTAAAAAGTCAAAAGTCAAAACAGTATACTTTCTGTATTTAAATACATTAACGTCCATGGTTGTATTATTTGTACAATAGAAAGAAAAAAAAAAAAAAAATGCTGAAATAGAAGATCCCGACGGTCCCCACGAACGTTTCGCGCCGTTTTATTCTTCGGGGTTCGGGAATCGGCATGAATTCATAAGAATTTTTTTTAGAGAGAGAGATAAATTATACGCGTATCATTCGCGTAAGTAAATATTATATATATATATATATATAAAAAAAAAAACAACAAGTCTCTGCGAATCCCTCCTACGGTCTCCTCCGATCAACGCTCAATACAGGTGGCCGACTCGATCGGTTATCTGCCGTGACATCGTTGTTGGCCGTATCTGCGAACGGACTCTGGACACGCCTATGGCGCCTACTGGCATACTCACTGCACACGTGACTTGCGCAAGTACTCAACTTGCGCACTCGTGGCAGGCGCGCGCGCGCACGCACACACACGCACGCACGCGCGTGTCGATTGATAAAACGGCAATCGAACGTCGAAATACCGAAATGCTATCCGTTTTTTTAAGCGAAAACCGTCTTTCCAATAACGCGTACGTACGTGCGGCACGCGCGCGTAAAATAACATAACAAATACGCTATGTATTGCGTTGCGGGATTCGATGCGAAAAACAAGAAGTGCCCGATGAGATTCGGCCCGGCGACGGGCGTCATTTGAAATTGGAAATGCGCGTTCTCGCGTTTCGAAAACTAAAAGTTCACGGCGGCGCGGTCACGAATGATAGAAGTAAGGCGATACGAACAATCGATAGCGCGTGGTTGTAGATTTAGATAATGATCTGGCGGTCCGCCGGGATGTGTATACGTATGTGTATATATTTTTTATTTTTATTTTCAACAGTCACGATATCGTTTCGCCGTTTGGATATTATATTATTATTATTATTATCATCATGATCGAAACGATATAAATCACGCGCGTATGCATTATTTATACGCGCGTATACCGACTGTACGAACATAATGTGCGTACGACGTTAGATCGATGTATTTAATACGTTGTAAGTACACTCATGTCGTACGTATTTTGTTGTTTTGTTAAATCGCCTGGAATTTTTTAATTAACTATAAAGTTTTCCTGACGTTTGTCATCTAAACTTGGGTGTATAATAACGATATTTTTATTTTTTTTTTGTATCGTTTGTGTATCGGATGACACGGGTATTAATGTAAGATTACTCGGTTTTAAAATTTACATAATACATATATTAACAATTTTTTTTTTTCTTATATCACAACTATTTATCAATCTACAAATAAATATTTACAATAAGGGATGTTGGCTGTTTAGGACGTCGTGGGGACGATCACGTTTGAGTCTGCGACGGACACACAATCCGAAATGTCGTGAGCCGCTTGCTTTGCGTAAATGGCAGAAGAAACTTGCCGATATGTCCATGATGTAGTTCTGTATTGTTGGTGATTTGAAGTCTGTGTGCAGCGCATCATTTCGAACGAAATTTTTTAAATTAGGTTTTATTTGAAAAAAAAAAAACACCCGAATATTTAGCAAAACTTATACGTGTTCGATTACAATTAGAATTAATTATAACTAACTGATATTATGATTAACCACGCGTAGTAGTGAATAGGGCCATCGTTTGTTACCGGGCACCGAATTCAAGGGCTCCTAAATGAAAAACCTCTGCCCAAAAAAAAAAAAAAAAATACAATTTAAATCTGAAATGAAACCTTGGTATCGAGTAATAAAAGCCAAAGGCATTAAGTGCGGACAAAGGCCCGCCGGGAAAATCCCGAATTCTCTATAGGCCTATCCGCCACCGACTACGCGAATAATCATTGTATTTGAATATGAATAATAATTATCGTGATATTAAAAACGTCCGTTTTGTTTCCTCTAAAAATAATATCGACTTAAGCTTAACGTACTCGGCACTTTGGATATTGTTCATTGTAGCAGACGAGACGTTTAAAAGGAGTTACACCTATACAGAATAATTTAATAAGTTTACTATAAGCAACGATTGCAGTGAAAACACGGTTCTTAGTGGAATAGAATTAGCAGTAGTATTGGTAGTGTTTTTTTTCTCGCGTACGTTTTACTGCCCTTGCTCTTTTTGACTCTTTTACATAAATGGCTATTTGAGCTATTCTTGGGCTTGATTTGGCCCTGGTCGTTAGGCCGAAAAACGGGTTGTTAGTTGCGAAGTCCGCGAAGGATCTATCGTAAAAAAAAAAAAAAAAAAAAAAACAACGGTCCATTATATTTGTATTTATTTATTTTTATTCGGAAATTAACAGTATCTGCAATATAGTTATTATTATATCGACACCCTGTAATTACCCGTTGCTTTATCAATGATAACGGATATTGTGTATACGTATTGGCAATCAGCTATATCGGTATGCTAGCAGACGTCTAGTGAACAGCAACCTATTAGCATATACAGAAGTGAGCACGGTATGAAAAAGAAGAAAAAAAAAAAAAACAACGGTCCATTATATTTGTATTTATTTATTTTTATTCGGAAATTAACAGTTCGTATTATTTTACGAAACATGCGTAGGTTCCCTATATGTACGCGCCGGTATGTACGCCAAAACCGCAATATATTAGGTACACGTTACTGTAATTACGCGTGGAATATGGGAACACGTTTTACCGTGTATCTAACGTATTGTATACTATTATAATTCAAACGCATATCCGTAGGCAGGAACGTTTGAGTGTGCGGGAATCCACTATATTACAATGTTATAACAGCATCGCAGCACACGCCACGCGGTCCGCAGTTTAGATACCTCTGTACGCATATATTCGTGTAAAAGTACGCGCAACACAAAAACTAATTAAAACAGAACATTTGTGTACCGGTCCCCCGATCGATTGCCATTATTTCCGGGACTTATATAACTACGCGATAATTATTATTATTATTATTATAATAATATAATATGGGTAATTTAAAGGATCAATAGAATTTCTACGCGCGGACGACGCTGTTAGAGCAAGTGTAGAAGATAAAGTTATGAAATTTCTCTCTCGTATAACACTTTTGTTATTATTGCTGGTGTTTTTTTTTTTTTTGTGCATATATATGTATATTATATTGTATTATCCAACTCTTAAAATTTAATCGAAGAACAGCGTGCGGTATGTGTTGGATTAATTAGTATTTACGTTGGCGTAGTCTCTATTATCGTAGTAATCCTCAGTAATAAACCGTGTAGAATACGATATTTGTTTGCACAGTTAAGTAATATTTTATTTTTCTAAATCTCGCTTCTTTTATTGTTCTTTGTATTGGCCGGTATTAATAAGGCGACACAAATCTAAAATATTTATTAAGTATCGCGTAAACTATACTTATTAGATTTTGCACTGTCCGTCAGTGGGTGCACTAGCATCTAAACGAAAGCGAATTTTTGAGTTTGGTTTTCGGAAATCGCATCCGCACCAACGAATCTTAGTCAAGATTGGAAATGAATGTAAACGTTCCTCGGAAACCCGGGATTTTTTTTTTTTTGGGTGGCGTGGGGGAGGAGGCAAACATAAAATGTATAGCCAACTAACGATAATCTGTTTTTTTGGTGAGAACCTTAAATTTCCCGGAGGAGGGGATGAAGGTCTAGACCCCATGGACTCCCATGGACCCTCCTGGCTCTATGTGCCTGTCGAAAAGAGTTTGGTAACTCTACCTGGTCACGGAAACTTACATTATGAGTGATTCTTGTGAAAATATTTTACCTATCGCCTATTTATTGACCAATAAATTGACGCCTCATAATTTTATTTATTACTCATATGCAATTATAGTATATTATACTGTTATCGTGTTAAATAAGTCACATTTTATATAAACCACTAAATATTTTACTTTAATTAGGTACCTTATTCCTTATTTATATAGTTTTCAAACGCCAATCTAGCTGGCTAAGCTACCCAACCGCATATTAAAAGAAAGACCTACGAATCTCCAGAGCAGCAACACTCCTTGCACGCCGCCGCTGAGTAACTGTAACCCACTGTAAGCCATTTATATGATATTGTTAAATTTGCTGTTATTATTTATTTACGTTGCTATGTTACTGAGTGAAATGCCGATAAATCTGGCATTTTAAATTATTTGTTTATTCATCAATTTAGTACTACCAATATTTGATATCAATATTAAAGATACCTATGACGTAGTTTTACATTGTGTATATAATAGAAGGGACTACTTAATATTTATATTTACAATGTACTAGTATTATAATTTTGTAATATTATATTAGTGTAAATATATATTTTACCCGCAATATAAATTTAAACCTTTCAAAAAAGGTTCGAAAAACCCTTTATAGAAAGGGTTAATATCGATTTTTGTAGTATCTTCTTTTTCCTCTTCTTGGATCTTGTTCATCATCTCAACGGTCTATTTAGATCAGCGCTGACGTCACAAGCTTTGTGCATCTATCATTTTGATACGCTGCGGTGCGCCGTCTGTAAGGAGGTCATTTTTAAATCTCTCAATTTTATTGAGCTCTAGGCCGTTACAGTGGCCTTTTGTTGTGTATTTTGTTTGCCAGCGCATTTTTAATTACCTATAGCTGAATATCGGGTTTCCGTCATGCGTGCAAAAGCCATGCTAAAGTTTGATCCTAAAACAATCTGGTATGTAAGGCATAATATGATAGGGGCATATGTTTTGAAGATAGTAAAGATTACTTGGACTCGAATAACGAGACGGACGTCAGACATTAAACAGTCAACAAATAGTCGGATGGTCGAAAAACAGAAGAAGGGAAAATTTGAGATTATTGGGCAAGGTGGACGACGAAGACGTGGCTAATAACAGGGAGACGGGGAACATGATTTTGTCATAACAATGGACCTAAATGCGGTCTCTAAAGAATCTAACGATTACAATTAAAGTGAATGTCAATTTTTCCATTTTTATTTCAACATTTTAATTAGGTTAATCATTATGTATTACGAATCTCTTCGTTATAATATTAAAAGTCATCGTTCGTGTAGTACCTACCTTTTCGTTTACGCTCATTGTTTTTGTGTAATTGGCGTTTTTAACACAAAAATCGTTGCCGGGAGAAAGCTACGGTTTAAATATTACGCAACGGCGTACTTACCTATATTAATTTTTATGCTTTGTTTAAACAACTCCATCACGCGACTTCAAACGTCTAGGTGAGATTATTGTTCGAAAATGTGTCATCGTTTCTAAACGCACCTGTATGAAACAAACTTCTCTATTGTAATGATTAATATTAAGTAGTGCGGCGTAAAAATATAAATCGCATACCGAAATAAATTGTACAAAGACGTACGCAATTATTACAATATACAGGCTATAACACGAAGATCTGAAACCTAAAATAACTTGTGCACCGTTCAGTATTTTAAATTATTTTAATAATTTCTGTAACGTTGTGATATGACTCCTCTATTTTATTTTATTTTGTTTGTTACCAAAAAACAAACAATTTATATTTAAAGAAATTGTTTTCACAAAATCTAAGTTAACCATTTTTTTAAATATATTTTGAAACAAAAATTATAATGTTAAAAACGTTCACTTATAATGAATCGTTAAAGTCTACGATAACTTAAATTGTTTTCATTATGTACTACTAAATAATAACAATCGATTTGTTAATTTCGCCACGAAAAATAATTTTAATAACGACTTTCGTAAACTTCAACAAATTGTAGAAACTTAACGATTGTCGCGCATATTTGCAACGCTAATATTTTTGTTCGAAATGTTATGCTCATCTTGAATTTCGTTAAAACAGTTTTTTTTTTTTAAAAAATATAAACGTATAAATAAGTAAAAACTTTTTTCTATTGAACACTTTTAACCTTTAAGCGCGAGCGCGGAGGGATCTGGAAATTATTGCAAGAAAAAAAAAACCTAAAAATTTTTATTTGTTGTTGACTTTCTAAAAAGTCCATAACACTGAACAGAACAACAGTTATTTCGGACGTCGGATCTTCGCGTTGCGTCCCGCACACTGCGTACCCGTAAAAAGCGTTTTTCCCGCATACACTGTTCGTTGATAACATTATGTTCTACACGGCGTGAATTATAAAAATCGAAATCAAACCCAAGTACTAGCGGTTCAACATTTATAATGTATAACTAATAGATTCCAGTTACTGTCATTGCTAACTGCTATTATATTGTTGTCCGTTACTGTTCCGCGTAACGCATAAATATTCCAATTCAAACCCATTAAACTACACCCATTCGCAAAACCGATAAGTAACTAATCGTTACCATTACCCTGTTCTTGAACACGTGTACGCATAAAACGTTGCATTCGAAAGAATGCGAAACACACGCGGTGCTTAACCGCATCCCGAATTCCGCGAGCGACCGCGGATACGAACGGTTCGGGGACGCTTAAGGCGTAGAGTTAATTTAAATAAATTCGAAACGCGCGTGCGACGGTCAGGTATACGCGCACGGAGCTAACGGGCCGGT